TACAGCGCAGTGCCTCACTGGCTCAGTGTCCTCGTGTTACGTTATCTAGCTGTTCTTGTTTGTATCCCTCCAAAGGAAAAGAGCAACCGAGTCACAGTCTCCCTCAATCCATCTCACAAAGGTACGTTATTATTTTTATAGTCGCGTTATTAATAGAAGATTTTGCTGAAGAAACAGCTGTGGTCTGTATTGACTATAGTGGACTATGTGTTAGGTTAAACAACATAATGCTGGCATTATGGCTGAGGATTGTGTGTTCCAGCTATAGGGAGATCACATTCCTGAGCCTTATGCCAGGGTGCCGGAAAAGAGAGTCCGTTCGTTAGTCGAACCTCGGATGCAGGAGGAACAATTTGGTTTATGTTTTGGTTACGGAACACCGGACCAGCTGTTTACCCTCTCGAGGATACTCGAGGTGTATGGGAGTTTGCACAACCAGTCGACATGTGTTTTGTGGACTTGGAGAAGGCATTCACCCATGTCCCTTATGAGATGTGCCTCGGAAGTATGGGGTGTCTAGCCCCGTTGACACAGGTCATTCAATCCTTATACAAATGTTGCAGAAGCTTGGTCCACATAGCCAGCAATAAGTCGAACATGTTTCAGGTGCGTTGGACGCCGACAGTGCTGCCCTTTGTCACTGAATCTGTTCATAATTTTTATGGACATAATATTTAGGCATAGCCAAGTGGCAGAAGGCTTCCACTTGGGTGGCCTCAGAATTTCATCTCTGCCTTTTGCAGATGATGTGGTTCTGTTGGCTTCATAAGGTGACGGCCTCCAGCTGGCACTGGAGTGGTTTGCAGCTGAGTGTGAAGAGGCAGGATTCAGAATCAGCACTTCCAAATCTGAGGCCATGGTCCTCAGCCAGAAAAAGAAGTGCCCACTGAGGGTCAGGGACGAATTCCTGCACCAAATGAAGGAGTTTAAGTACACTGATGAAAAGTGTACTTCAAAATGAAAGCATAGTACAAATAAGCAATTGGAGTTTTAAAAAACAGGATGGAATCAATTTCTTTTATGCAACGCAATGATGGCTGCATGTGTTTCTTTGCAGGTAACCAATGATTTCAAAAATGACCCTCCTTTTAACAAATCCAGTCCACTATTTTAACTCAATAAATGAGTAACAATAATGATCTCCAGCCTTGTGCTCATCAACATTCTCATCTGAGTTAACAAGAAGATTATGGAAATGATGTCAGCAGATCCTTTTATGGCAGCGATGAAATGCAGTGGAAATGCATTTCACGTTTATTTTCATGGCAAAAAGGACTTTGCAATTCATCTGATCACTCTTCATAACCTTCTGAAGTATTCGCAAATTGCTATCATAAAAACTGAAGCAGCAAACTTTGTAAAAAACATTATTTGTGTAATTTTCAAAACTTTTGGCCACGACTGTATCTCGTGGTCTTGTTCATTAGTGAGAGGAGAGGGAAGCTGGAGATCTACAGA